TTAATGAATGATAAGAAACATAGACAATTATTTATTATCTTTAACGGAGTTTACAAATTTTTCATGTATGTATATGGGGTGAATCACTTAAGAAAAAAGAATAACAAATTTTTTGTTTGGTTTTGTGTTTTTTCCTTGAAGTTTTACATTTGTGTGTGTTCTCTATTTCTGGCCATATCGAATTTACTTTTTGTTATATATCCATCGTTTTCATTTCCTTTCAACATAATTACATAAGTTGCAAAACGGAAAACTTATAATTTCAAGGAAACATTCAAAATATTTAAAATATTATGCAACTCATATTATTTTCTACATTGCATATAAGTTTTTTTTTGTCACAAAAAAAATTTACATACATATAAGTTTAAAAACAAACAATCGTGCATATTTAATGGTTAACAAATTGATAACCTCTCCTTATTAATTACTGAAATTAACTTATCTAAAATATTTTATACCGCACACGGTGTGGATAGTATTTCATTAAAACACAACTTACTAATTGAATTTAAAATATTAAGAAAGGGAAAAAAAATTCAGAACATAAACAAAATCCCGCTTGATCCGTCCTAAGGTGATGCTCAAATCACTTGCGATTCTTCAGAATTTTTTTTCTCACCGAGTTCTTAATTGATCACATGGAGTTTGTCTTCTTCTTATCTTGTTGAGTGTCAAATTGATTGACAAATATAAAAATTATATGCATGAGTTCTTGGTCCAACTTAGTAAAACTATATTTTGCCAATATTATTTTATGAGTCCACTCAAATCCAGAACTAGCTGTCGAAATGCAATGAATTTGAAGCACATAATCTTAAATGAATTGGCTTACTCTAACGAAGAACATGCATGTGGTTAAGTTTTCAAAAACGTCTCAACATAAAATCATCAAACAATGATCTGATTGCTAAATACTTCAAAATTGTGAGCTTTTTAGGAGTCGTGAACAAGCAAGTTCTGAGTGTTTCTAAATATTTTGGTTGTTGGCTATATATAGGAAACGCGTAAAAGAATCATCAATCCGACCTTAGCTCAGTTGGTAGAGCGGAAGACTGTAGTAGTTGCTGTAATCTTTAGGTCGCTGGTTCGATTCCGGCAGGTCGGATATTTTTTTAAGTTTATTTATTTATCTAAAAAAATATTTTCAAGATATAATTTTAGGTACGTACTACACATGAGTCATGACGATAAGTAAGCCGCATGTGTGGCAACATGTATTATACAATTTTAAATGGGAAAAGGAAAAGAAAATAGAAACACAGTATCATATTTATTTCATAACCTTTTTTTCTTTTTACCCAGCCTAGTGTTTAATGTTCAATTATATTATTTTTTTATCATATATA